CATCAGTGCATCAACTTTTGTACTGCTGGGTGGGTGTACATTTTTCTGGAGGCTTTTTATGTGACTTGATTAATCATTATGTGCACATGTGTGTGTATATAATATGCACACTTGTGTATATTTAATTTTGGAAGTTCTGGTTTGTTTGTGAACATGGCCGTTCCTTAAACGGGGCCGGCTGACATCCCGCCCCCCCCCCCCCCCCAGTGCCCCGCTCACTCCCGCTTTTTCCATCCACGCTGGGTGCGGCTGGAATGCCGGCCTCCGCAGTTCTTTGTTTAGGGAGTGCGAGTGCCAGTCAGCTGGCAGCCCAGACCCGAGGTCCGGGCCAATCGCCCATGTCGTCATGCTGAGGGCCAGTAATGGATTCGAGAAGCAGAAATATTGAAAATCTAGCTGCGTATTTCAGCCCTGCGTTTTCTTGTGACTGACCAGTTGCCTGTTTACATCCCTTTATGCTTTGTGCCTAATTATTGCATAAGCTTCCATTAAATAGACAGGTGGTAGAAGTGCTGATTTCAGTAAGTACACATTTTAATTGCATTTAATATATGTAATAAATCCATGCATCGAGTGAGAGGTAAATCTGATACTGTGGCATTGTGATGCAGTATTAATACGAAGATGGAAATAGGCTGCTGTGACCTTGCCGTTGTACACTGTACTCATAGATAAGACTCCTTTTCCCCTAACCCTTCACTATCAACTAATAGTGTAAGCTGGTTCTGCTTTATAGATTAATACAATAAGGTTCGACAATCTGAGCTTATTATTTTTTTTATTTTCTCAAATTTCATTGTTTGAATCTTGAAAAATTTGAATCAGTTTGGTAATGTATTAAGAATGACATATTTTTTCTTAGTTTCATACAGTGCTCTTGCGTTATTAGGGTGTGTTGGTGACATTGTTCCTTCACAGCTCCAGGGTCTGTATTCTGTAACGGATTACAAATTGAACTTGAATATGTTTGGTGGGTTTTGTTTTGTTTTGTTTTTGTCCCCCTGTAAAATGGTGAAATTCTGCATTTACTGTCCAGTTTCATCACCAGTAGGGGAGAAATATTTGCTTCTTTTGTCTCTTCGGGACCCCCCCCCCCCCCAACAGAAGAATTTAAGTTTTGTGGTTTGCCTGTTTTATCTGTTGCAAAGACGGTTGACACTGTCAGAAAATACGTTTTTGCACAGCTTTAAACTTGCTTTGTGGTCATGTAAGACCATGGGGCTGTAGGCTGCTTGTGTTTGATAAGGGGAGTGCGCATCGACAGTTTAGAAAGCTATAGCACATGCTGACATGACGGGACAGCCATCGGAGCCTTACTTTACACCTTTTCAGCAGCAAGGGTCACTAACGAAAACAGAATAATACATTAGGCATTGTGAAAACTGTAATGTACGAAAGCATTGGTTCTTAAGGAAGTTGAAAAGTTTCGTTTGATTATTTGTGATGCAAAGTTTGTTAGCTGCCCATGTAAGTACAGGAGGACTTTGATGATTAGGCCAACATACGATAACCTACAGCTGCTTGACACTTGATTTCAACACAAACAAGCCAGCATTTTCCTTAATCTGTTGTATAACTTGGCATTGTAATGATCTGCCAATCAGATGTGGAGGAAAATGGTCATCGAGTGATCATTTAGTCATGCGGTATAAATGTGTGAAAGTAATTTACTATCCTTAGTACTGGTGAGACAATTCTAAGACTGGTTCACATAATGAAATATTAGCTGTTTATGTAGCATCTATAAACAAGTCAGGAACTTGTTTCGAAAACAAGAGGTTGTGGACATTTATGTATGGTAACTTCTGTAAGTCAGGAAGTACTCAAGTCCTTAGTTCACAGACAAGCAATTTGACCATTAAATTGAAGATTTTTTTTTTCTCAGTCCAGAAAATTGAGATGGAGGGTAGTTTTACTTAGTAACAGATAAAACTTTTAATGAAACGTCACATTAAAAAATGGCCTCAGTATTTGGAGCTAAGTAGCAGTTTCAATAAATATGCTATATGTATGTTATGTACTTATTCAGGAATCAGTCCTGTAGTGGTAAGACCTTCACAGAAGTGAATTCACACCCCTTGCCTTTAATATCAGCCATTCTGTGTGTCTGAATATTAAAACCCAAACAGATAACACATCCTATGCAAATTAATGGTAAACATATTGCAATATAGTGGTTTTTGTCTGATTTGGTGATGTTAGTGGGCTTTGCTGTCAAGGAAGACACTCCATGGAATTTGTCATGATTAGTGGTGCACCGATACATTTTTATCTACTATCACCAGTTCACCAGTGCCAATAACTGGCTAACTGTTAAAGTTGCCAAATGACCACTTGCAGAGCCAGGGTGGGGTGGGGGTGGGGCAGCGTGATGCTGGCAGTGAAACTTGACAAAATGACACATTGCAATTTTTAATTCTGTGGAAAACGGAAGATCAATCTACTGACCACATTTAATAATGATGTCGTGGGTTATGTTAAACCGTATCGCGGGCCAGTAACATCGGCCAAGACACTTTGGACTAATACCGACATCTTGATTTTTAACACTTATTGGCCCGTTTAGATGCGTAAACCAACATCGAGCATCTGTGCTTGTCATGCAGTAAATACTGACTTCGGTAGTCATGTATACATTCTTCTGATTTTGCTTCAGATTTTGCTGGTGAAATAAACATTGGTGAATCGTAAGCTTTTACATTTTACTAAGCAGATGCTTTTGTCCAAAGGAACATACAGGTGAGCAGTTGAGATCAGGGTCATTATGATTCTTGGAGCATGGGGGGTTTGACCCCATGACCTTCTGAAGATAGACACAGATCCGGGTAATTCACTGAGCAACATGCCGCCTTTGCTTCATTCATTAGAAAGCTGAAGATGATTGACCAATTATCTCCTGTCTTAGGTAATGTCTCTGTTGCTGTTTGTCATGCTGAGAATTTGGAGGCATTCCTGAAATTTTATGCAGAAGCAACAATGTTTGGTTCCCACATTGTATTGATAATTAATAGCAGTGTAAAGATGCATTGTGATGGATCGATTTTATTAAGGTGGGGATTTAATACATTGACCTACAAATGTCAGTCGCTTTTTGGGGATAAAATAAAGGCTTGTTAATATTCATAAAGGAAGCACTACCTAATGAGTACTATGGTGGCTTTTGGAGAATGTCTCTTTTGTAGCACAAAACTGGCATGGTTTTTGGCAGCAGTGTGCAGTTAATTTCCCGTAGTAATATTTGAACAGTTATAAAAGTTATTAATATTTGAATTTTGCTTATCAATATAATCAAATCGATTTGTGAAAGAAATTAAAGATTTAATTGAATCCTCTTGTGGCCAACTATTTACACCCCAAGTATTGAAGTATTAATGATAAGAAGGTGTTGATGCATGGAGTTTGCAGTGGTGGTTTTCAGCTCAGATATATGCCTTACTGCAGTGTTTCCCAACCCAGTCCTCGGGGAACCCCGGTCATACCACGTTTTTGTTTTGCAACCAGGTATTCGGTGTTCCTGATTAGCTGGGAGGGAGCAAAAACGTGGACTATTTGGGATTCCCCCAGGACCGGGTTGGGAAACACTGCCTTGGCAGCATATTTTCTGAGGTTTTTTTAAGCAAAGATGTCCGCCAGTTCTTATCTAGCCGTTACAACAGGGGATGGCGGACTGGCGTAAACGTTCAGTGAAAGCTAAATTTAAAATGTTTACAGTGCTTAAATGCTGGATTTCTGAAACTGATCATTTTAAAAACATACCATGTAAGCCTGTAAGAATTGGAGAGAGATCTGTATTTTAATCAGTCACTTGGTATCTGCTTGTGCAACTAGATATACAGAAGTGGATGTGTGTACAGATGTTGTCTGCCTCCCATCTACACTTTGAATGGATTTCAGTTTCTCTTGCACTTTATAACTGGACTCCCCCAGAGAGGCATTTTGTGGTTTGCTTATTATCAAAGTATCTTTTGGAACGGCTGTGTTAGCTGTCACTGCAGTCTGATGAATGCTGAGTTTGCCAGGTAACTGTATCTGACAGTTTTGGAGACCAGTCTGTACAGATCCTTGTATGGCTATATGAGAGATCCTGGTCTTTTCAGCACAGCTGATACAGTGCCTAAAAAGTACCCGTGTTTTTAGTTTATCATTCTTCCATTTAGATATGTGTTCTGTAACTTAAAAATAGAGCTTCAAATAACCTTCTGAACTAGACAGTATTCTTTTCTCAAGGGAAATGCAGGTTCTGGGCTGTTTTTTTTTTTTTTTTCTTTTTTAATAACTGCTGGGCATTTGGACCTGAATTTCGTCAGATGAATCTGTGAGATTGATGACTAAGGGGGGGCATAGAGGTTGTGGGAGTGCAGTGGAACCTCCATCGCAGACTTTGCCAAGCCTGTAACATTGACCCTTGCATGTCCTACAGTTTTCATGCTTTGCAAGAATTCCAGAAAAGTTTGAGGCATTTCTTATGAAATGTTAATGCAAAACCCCGTCCCTGGGGACTCCCTGACAGTCCGTGTTTTTGCACCCTCCCAGTTCCTTGCCAGGCAGCCCATGTTTTTGCACCCTCCCAGTTCCTTGCCAGGCAGCCCACGTTTTTGCACCCTCCCAGTTCCTTGCCAGCCAGCCCACGTTTTTGCACCCTCCCAGTTCCTTGCCAGNCAGCCCACGTTTTTGCACCCTCCCAGTTCCTTGCCAGCCAGCCCACGTTTTTGCACCCTCCCAGTTCCTTGCCAGGCAGCCCACGTTTTTGCACCCTCCCAGCAGCCGGTAGGGCTCAAATATGGACTGTCTGGGGGTCCCCGAGAACTGGTTTAGGAAACGATGCATTATGGTCATCTCCCTGAACACTAGACATGGTAGTATATTAAGTCTTATTGGTATAAAGTTGTCCCCTATCCTTTTTTCCCTTCCAAGATGCACAGTTAATATCAAGAACTTTGATGCTGGTCTGCGAGCCCTGATTTTTCATGTGGATGTTTGATATGCTCTCTCTCCTACAGGTGGTACATAAGTTTGGAGGCAGAGCGGCATGCTGAAGAGCTCCTGCCTCATTCAGAATGAGTGTCACAGATGGCGGGGGGGCAGCTAGCCAAGATGGAAGGAGCTACGTTCTTCAGATCTACGCTCGGCTCTCCCTGGAGGCAGCGCCATGCTGCACCCTCAGGGTCTCCAAGGAGGCCACGGCCGCAATGGTTGTCAAGGACGCAGCGGCCACATTGGGTCTGGACGGTTCTAAGTTCTATGTACTGGCGGAGGTAAAGGAGTGTGGTGGGGAGGAGTGGGTTCTGGAGGCCAGCGACCTTCCGGTTCAGAGGGTACTGCTGTGGCCCAGGAAGGCCCAGGACCAGCACCCGCAGAGCGAGGGCTTCTACTTCATCCTACAGCAGCGCAACGATGACGGTTCAATCCAGTACGTCCATTTGTCAGCCCTCAGCAAAGAGAGGGAGAGGCAGCAGTTGGCGGCTCGCGGCTTTCTGCCGCCACGGCAGGAGGATCTCGACGACCTGTGTGACCTTCCTCACTTGACGGAATCCAGCATTTTGCATAATCTTCACAATCGCTTCCAGAAGAAGAAAATCTACACTTACGCCAGCAGCATCCTCATCGCCATCAACCCTTTCAAATTTCTTCCCATTTACAACCCAAAGTACGTCAAGATGTATGAGAACCACCAGCTGGGCAAACTAGAGCCTCACATTTTTGCCATCGCGGACGTGGCCTACTATGCCATGCTGCGGAAGAGTGTCAACCAGTGCATTGTCATCTCTGGGGAGAGTGGCTCGGGCAAGACGCAGAGCACCAACTTCCTCATCCACTGCCTGACGGCGCTCAGCCAGAAAGGCTATGCTAGTGGGGTGGAGAGGACCATCCTGGGAGCAGGACCAGTCCTGGAGGTAGGAATGACATCTGCACATTCCAGTGCTGTAACTCTGCCTGCATTATGCTTTAATGCTCCCCCCCAAATTTTAGTTCTGCTAGTTGACACCTCATGATCCGTTTTAAGGGAAGGCCATTTTCCTCATGGATAGGGTTGTGCTATTATCAAAATGGAAAAGCGAGTGTACATCAACAGTGGGAAGTATTTTCTCGATACTTTATAAATATTTGAATCGGTTAGTGCCCCACAGGCCTGATTTACTTATGCTTATGGGTTGAGTTCTCAAAGTTGCAGCTGTATCCTGCAGGATCAGAGCGCATTGAAGCACCTGCTGTTTACCTGAAGTTATTCTGCTGAAGTGCAGTTGCAACACAAAAATGTTTTCCTCTAGTTTTATCACAAATTGACTTGTGCGTTTAATATTGACATTAACTTATGGCTTAGGCACGTATTTAATAAAAATGCTGTGGTAGTGGTGAACCCTTTGTCTGCAGTTTCCCTCTTTCTCAGCTGACAGTTGCATTTGCCCCCCCCCCCCCCTTATTTTTTTCTAGCAGAAGCAGCACTCGTATTGCTCTTTATCAAAGACCGTCTGTGGTCCATCTGCAACAATCTGCTCCTACTGCGATACACATTCTCCCACTGTGGTTTCACTGGTTATTATTTTTGCGAACGGAGTCTTTCTCATGCAGTTTTGTGAGGGCAATCTCTGTACCAGGGGTAGTCAGTTACTTAACCCCACAGTCCAAATTCCATCAGCGACACAGACCTGATGAAATTTTATGGGGGTACATTTCCCTGGGGGGGGGGCCCTCTGCAATAAAATTTTCCATGTGTGGCGGGTCCTCAGTAGATTTCACCAGCCGGGGGGAGTTGATCGCTTGTTCTGGAACTAATTGTGTATTGACCCAAATCTGGACTGCAGTACCTCTGCCTTATACTGTCTCCCGGCATTCTGAGCAGTTCTTGGATATGCCAACATCTGTGCCAGTTTAAACCTCCGCGTAATTTGAGTATAATGGGAATGCTTGGCTCATGGTTAATGAAAACAAGTTGGCTGGTCTTGAGAGGAACACTGCTGTTGGAACAAACTTTTCACATCTTTGAATCAATTGTTGGTGAACATTTTTGTCTGAAGAATAAGCCTCTTCCTCATTGGTGTGTCATGTGGCCTTTTATGTGACATTAACAAATAAGAACTTCCTGTCTGATGGATTAGCCTGTGAACCTTTGGAGGACCTGGGAGTCCCTCCGCATCGCCTCTGGTTCACCCAAAGAACATTTCCAACCCTCCTCTCACCACATGCTATTGACTAAGCTGCACGCATTGAAACTGGCCACTGTTGTGTGACCATCAGTTTGTAGATGGATCTCTGACCTGTGTGACATGTTTAGAATATTGGGCAGGACTCGGGCACCTTCTGGAGTCCCTGTATTTTTGCAGTGTGTTCAGCAAACCACAATTTTGCATGTGGATGCCATGCATTAGTGTGCAAAACCCATCCAGTGTAAATGCTTTTCATGTCTCCACCTTACAATACAATGGTTTTTCAAATCAGTGACTTTGATCTGCTTGAGGTACACATTTCCTGTTTGACAGTTTGTGAATGAGAAGCAAATGAGTGTTACAAGTTCTTTAATTTTAAAACACTGCCTCTAAATTATTGTTTATTAAGATATAAAGTATGCAACATCCTTGGCTGTTTGAGGTAGCCAGTATCTAATCAGTTATGGAAGCGTTTTCAAAAATGTATCCCAAGCCTTGATATTGAAGTCTATAAACTCAGCCATCTGTGAGTGACGTTGATCAGTTTGGGGTGGGAAAACTCCCTCTATTAGCAAACCATCTATCTTTGACTAAAACCCGAACTGGGTTCAGTTTTCCAAGAAAACCACATGGCATTTAGAATAGACTAGGCACTGACTCGGCATCTGTATCTCAACTAGTAGAGCGTTGTGCTAACAATGCAATGGTTGTGGGTTCAAAACCCAGGGAGTGTGCTCAGATTATAACCACTGTAGTATAAGTTGCTTTGGAGAAAAGGATCAGGTTCCTGTATAATATAATATTCCGTCATTAAAGGTAGGCATACCTTTCTAGATTTTGTCTTGGAAAAATTATAAAGTGTATTTTTGTGTGCCTCCTTCAGTTATCATTAGCAATAGCTATGTTTGCTTGTGGTCTGTGAAAGTAGGCTGTGAAACTGATGCAGGCAGCCTGCATATGAGTTGACATGCAACATTATGCAATATCTGTCTAATCTCATTGCACTAGAGACAGCAGTCTGGCCTGTTTGTCAGTGTTCTCACACCTTAAAAAAGGAAGCTTTGTGGTGTTGCAATAAGGCTTGTTGGTAGGTAGCTGCTTAGGTCTGCCTCCCCCATGTGGCTCTCCTGAAGTCCCGTTTAAGACTTGCTCCCTGTGCACTGCTGCTTGGATCTTGGCTGTCTGGTGGATAATCAATGGAAGTTTGAGGAAGGGGGCATCTTTCCTCATCGAGTAATGGTCCTAATATCGTTATTGTGGCCTTTTAGATAATGAAATTTGCTTAGGTAGCAGCCTGAAAGCTTATGCTAGCTTGAGTCTGAACATCTGTCTGCAGTGTTTGCAAATGCATATGTATGTATGGATCTATGTATCTATATATGTATGGATGGATGGATGGATGGATGGATGGATGGATGGATGGCTACACATTTTACCAGAGCATGAAAGACTCAGTCATGGACCTGTGTGTGAAGTCTGCCTGCCCCTCTGACTCATTTCACCATTACGCAGACAGTGAAGCGTCTACCATTTATGGAGAATCACAGAGCAAAAAGTGACTGAGATGACCTGTCCGAAAGTTGCCCTTTCTTACAACTTTTTTTTTTTTTTTTAAACCCATTTCACAGAATTTTATTATGCAACTTCACTCAAAATTAACCTTTCCTAGCTTTTAAAGGGGGGGGGGTGTCACAACTTTCTTTGTAAAAAAATAAATAAATAAATAAATAAATAAATAAAAATTAAAAAAAAAAATAAATAGTATTTTGTCAGTACTGCTTTTAAATCACACTACATTAATTTGCTTGCTGCTTGATAGTCACAGCTGTAGCTGCCTTAGAGTCCTGATGAGGCCGTTTGCCCCTGTCCTCTGTCTTCAGTTTAGTGCTCATTACTGTCTCCTGCCCCCCAGTCCTCACTGCCCTGAGAAGGTGCTTTGCTTTTGCTTGCTTCTGAAGCACTGCCTGATTCTGATGGACCTTTTTCATCCACGCTTCATGTTTTGCACTCAACACAAATGTCAGGGTGCTGGCAAGAAACACATCGTAACCACGGTTTAGTCAAGGCCCCAAACCAGACTACTGATCCACTAAATGTAATAGTGTTAACATACAATTACATTGTCAATAACAAGTTTTACAGGTTTTATTTTTTTAATTAACCACCGCCCTCGGCTTCCCATTTCACAATAAGGCCTGGATACTTCATATTTGGGTGCCTCAAAGATTTGGAGTAATTGCATAGTTTTAATGACATTGATGGGGCACGTGTCGCTTCTGTTATCTTGTGTTAAAGCTAGAGAAGTAGAGATGCACCGATCCAATATTCGGATCGGTTTCGGTGCCGATACTGACATATTTGTTTGATCGGGTATGGGCCATGTGTGACCGATCTACGTCCTATACTTATTTATTTAGTTTTTGGCAGTCTCTAAAAAGAGCTCCTATTTCGTGTTAAATCTATTTGTAAAATCAATCGCACGACAGCTCTTTCCCATTTTACATGTTTGTTTTTTTTGTGGCATTCAAATCGAACGCTAATGCTGCCCCTCAGTCTTTTTTGCCACTCAGTGGGTGTGAGTACAGTGACTTGCGCCTGCTGTGACGTCATGCGCATACTCTTCGCAGTACGAGGAGTGTAAGATAAGATGTGACGATTTGGGAGTATTTTACGCTTTTAACAGAAACCAGTAGCACAGTGATTTGCAATCTTTGTAAAATAAAGTTTTGAGAGGTGGGAATAGCGTTTAATGGACAATCCCACTTAACAAAGCGCACGCAACTGTGTGAGACAAAAAAAAAAGCAATGGATGATTTGGGAGTCGCTAACTTGGACTGTCTTGCGAACTCGCTGCAGCTTGTGATACAGGAGGGGCTGCCATCGCAACAAAAGTGTAACTGCAGTGAAAAAATTTATATATAAAGTATAACAAAGTAAAAAGAGCTCTTGTATCGGAATCTGTATCGGTATTGGCGGTTGTGTATTGGAATCGGATCGGAACTGAAAAAATGTGGATCGGCCCATCCCTAGTTAAAGCATGTATCAATGTTATAAAAATTTTATTGTGTCATGGTACTGGATAATAAGTCATTGAGGTGAGTTACACGGTTTGTGGATACAATGGTAGAACAGGTGCTCTTAGCTAACCTGGCAATTTCCACTCTATAAGATCTGTGGGGCAGCATGGTAGCTTAGCCGACAGCACGGTCGCCTCACACCTCCAAGATGGGAGGCCTGAATCCTTGGTGGAGTTGGCATGTTCTCCCTTTTACCGTGCTGCTTTCTCCTGAGTACTCTGGCTTCCTCCAGCAGTTCAAAGACTTGCATTTAGGCTAATTGATGTCTTTTAATTTGGCTTTAGAGCATGACTGTCAGCATATGGCTGTATGCATTCTGCGGTGGGAGAGACATCCTGTCTCCTCTGTACCCCAGTATTGTGCCCTGTGCCACCTGAGCCGAGCCCCAGGTCCCCACACCGGCCTGACCTGGATAAGCAGCTATATGATGTGTGGAAATCTGCGGTCATGAGAACCATGCTAACTGCTGCCACCTAATGGGGAGAGTCACTTTTCAAGGTTCAGGGTTACTTTGTCATCAGCAGCTTCATACATGTACAAAGAGTGATGAAACAACGTTTCTCCATGGCCCCGGTGCGACATATAGTAACATACTGTGATATTAAGTGTTACTATAACAGGGCGAAGGTGCAAACAGGCAGTAAATAAATAGCGTAGAGATAATAGTGCAGA